TTTTTGGTTTGGTTTTTTGAGACAGGGTTTCTCTGTGTAGCTTTGCGCCTTTCCTGGAGCTCACTTGGTAGCCCAGGCTGGCCTCGAACTCACAGAGATCCGCCCGGCTCTGCCTCCCGAGTGCTGGGATTAAAGGCGTGCACCACCACCGCCCGGCTAAATTAACCCTTTAAATAAGCTTTGACTCTTGTATGTATCAGGGCCCATTTCAACTTTAAAATTTGCCTCAGGTACATGGTGACTCGTAATAGTTACACAGTAAATTACTAACATTGTATTGCACCTCAGTTTACCCCAGGGTGATTTATTTAGATAACAGTGATATAAAATATATCTGAGTATTTATTTTAAACATTTTTAGGAAAATGTCATGAATTTGTTGGCAAAAGTCGACTTATCAGTAATTCCTTCACTTGGAGTCCTCTGAGCATTGCATGACCAGGATTATAATATCCGCTTTGCCACTAGCCATCATCCTTGGTAGGTACCCAGGCTACTTTAGCTTTGAACTCTCCACAACAACGGGAATTTTGATATCAATATGTATCATTTTCCTGAGGTTATATGTGAATAGATCTTGAATTCCACCTGAAAGTATTGAGGTTTTTCTCTTCATAACTGCCACGAAGATATAATCCACTATCTTCATGGTTTCAAAGTGTATTTTAGATGATAGAAACAGATTTTCCTTTTTAAAAAATGTATGTATTTTTTGATAATGTTACTCAAGTATATGATACATTTTGATCCTATCAACCCCATCACAACTCCTCCCAGACACCCCCTGTCATGTCCCTCTCACAACTTCATGTCCTCTTGCCATAGCCCAAATGGATCCCACCAGTGCTGTTCATGTGTGCATGGGTGCAGGCCACATACTGGAGCATGAGCAACCTACCAGGGGCCACTTCCCTGAAGAAAACTGACTCTCCCTCCCCAGTATCCTGACTGTCAAAAGCCCTTAGCTAGTGATGGGGCCTTATGAGCCCCTCCCAAGTCCATGCAGATGTTTGGACTGACTTGATCTTATGCAGACTAGCGTGATCTTGTGCAGGCCTTGTGCAGGTACCCACAACTGCTGGGAGTTCATGAGAGCAATAGCAACACCATCTCCAGGAGACATTGTCTCATAACAGTCCTCCCCAACCTCTAGCTCTTATAATCTTCCAGCCCCCTCCTCCACAATGTTCCCTGGACCATGTGTGGAGGAGGTGTAACATAAATGATCCATTTAGAGCTGAATACTTCACAGTTACTCCTTCTAATTCAGAAAAAAAAAAACTTTCATTAAAAAAAAAAAAAAAACAACTACCTAGTGTGTGAATTCCTTTTGCTTTCATTATGGCTGAGTTTTGCAAACTATCCATTACTAAACAACAGAAAATGTGGGAGAGCATCCAATAGAGAAAGGCATGGACTATAACGCTTGTTAGGATACGGAAAAAAATATCTGGGGACTCATATGATATTAAATACTTTAGAAACACACAAGATATCTCGAACCTCTGTCTTTTTCTCTTCATCTTCACAGAACACCTAAATAGAATATCAAGTTTGAAAATTGAAGTGCTGGACAGGGTATTTAGTTCTGAACGTATTGAAAATGGGACTGTTTGAAAATGGGACAAATGAGCTGTTCGAAAATGGGACAAACTAATCAGGCAAAGCACAGTAAGGAAGAGTGCTTTTTGGTGACAGGCGAGCAGAGGACAGGGAACGCGGCTGGAAGAGTTGTTTTGGTCTGCTTTGCCAATGTGAGATAACAGGAGATGGAAGAACTGAGCAGAGATTCAGAGGCGGGTGAGGACCACTTGGGGCAAAGTCCAGCTTCAAGAATACATCAATGTGTGTGTCAGGTAAGAGAGATGAATTAAACAGGCAGCATTGAGGGAAAGACCCCATTTGTTTATTTATTTATTTATTTGGTTAGTTAGTTAGTTAGTTAGTTAGTTAGTTAGTTAGTAGTTTGAGGCAGGGTCTCACTATGTATCCCTAGCTGACCTGAAACTTTTTATGTAGACCAGGTTGGCCTTGAATGCACAGAAATT